ATGATTATGTGGAAGTCAGTGATGAGGAGCGTCGCCGGATTCTCAGCATATTGCAAGATGTTGTGTACCTGGCTTCCAAGGGAAAAAAGCCAATGCCAAAGCAGGCATGCCTGGCTATGGCAGTCAGACACTTAACTGGCTCTGCACAGCTGATAGGCGTACTGAATGGTTTGGGCCATAGTGCATCACACTCATATGTGTTGGAGCACGATACTGCATTGGTTCAGCAGGAAATGCGCAGAGGAAGTAATACACTCCCGTCGTGTCTACGACCTGGCATATTCGCAACCCTCGTATGGGATAATAATGACTTTGGGGAGGAGACTGTGTCGGGCAAGGGAACAACGCACAACACGAACGGTATTGCCATTCAACATGAAGAGCCGCGGCTACTAGCCACAACAGAGCCACCATCGTCAACTGTAAGTGTAAAGAAGACAAAACAACGTTCTCTACCAGCCCCTGAACAGAGTCTGGTTCCTTTTGGTGGTACTAAAAAGGCTTCACCTGGAGTATTTTCTGACTCCATACCGTTAGAGCTGAAGCATTCAGCAACAGCCATGAGCCTGAATAAGCAGAAAGATGATGCTTACTACATCACAAAGACATGTACTGATCGGTTGTTACCTTCTTGGACCGGATTCAACCAAATGTTGGCAAGTGACATTCCACCGAAAGCTGTAATATGTTATCTGCCTGTCATTGATGCTAGCCCTACCGAGCTTAATACTGTGAACACAATCCTCGATCGATGTATAGCACTAGCTGATCAGCTTGAGCTGCCCTCAGTTGTGGTGGTGGTGGACCAAGCCATTTATGCTAAAGCTCAAGCCATAAGATGGCAAACACCAGTCTACAAGGACCGCATTGTGATTCGCCTAGGAGCTTTTCACACAGCAATGACTGCTTTGGCATGCATTGGTAAAAGGTTTGGGGATGCAGGGCTTCTAGATATGCTAATAGAATCTGAGGTTCTGGCATCAGGATCCGTGAACGGTGTGTTAACTGGTCATCATTACAATCGCAGTATACGTTGTCACAAACTTATAGCCGAAGCACTACATCGATTACGCTGGCAGAGCTTCCTCAGCAACGTTACAGACGAGGTGGCACATGAGTATTGTGAAGTAGTGAATGGTCTCCATGCTTCCTACCCGACTGAGGAGTATCAGAATATTGTTGAAAGTCCAGTATTCCAGGCTTTGATGGCAGCATATGGCAAATTCATAGCGAGTCAGAATAAGAGCAATGCTACATTCGCATTCTGGAGTTCGTATCTTGATGTGGTGGAAAATGTGCTGCAATTCACAAGAGCATCACGAGAGGGTAACTGGGAACTTCACCTGGCAGCTGTTCGTTCTGTGTTACCTTGGATGTTTGCCTACGATAGAACAAATTATGCCAGGTATCTTCCAGTCTATTGGTTGGAAATGAAGAGCCTTGTGACAACCCACCCACTCATATACAATGAACTGCAGAAAGGAAACTTTGCAGTTCAGAGACAAGATGCCCATTACATGGCTTTGCTAGAGTAGCATGCGACATGACGATTGAACAAACTGCCAACAGAGACTCGAAGACCAGAGGCGGTATGAAGGGCTTCACTGTCAATAAAGGAGCTGGTAATCGGTGGATCAGAGCTCACCACGAAAGAGCAGCCATCACAAGGCAATGTGAGGAGATGGCAGGAAAGCGACACAACGTAGCAACTCGGACAGACTTGACAGATGGGCGTATAAAAAGAGATGCCACAGATGTTCAAAATATCATGGACACAATTGCAGTCATGACTAACCCGTTTGACACTGACCCCGAGGCAGACCCTGGAGATATTATTCACTTGTCTTCAGGCATCATTGCATCCCCGGATATATGCGAGGATTTGAAGACTGCTTACCAGAAAGGGAATGATGCATTTATTTCATCTTGTCGAGATAGATTGCAAGGAGGTGATGTGGACCTCAATGCACCATTGAAAAAGATGAAGCTGAAGACATTCACTGATGCAGGCAAGAAAGCAGTGACAAAGGTGAAGGGTAAAGAAGTCACTTCAAAAAGTGACCGGGAACTTCTTGCAAGGCTTGTCATCATAGGTAGAACCCGCAAAGTCGATGTGAAGAACATGCTGACTCATTGTTTGGGACCTCTTCCATTGGCTATCTCTACACATGATGGATGCCTTGTTAAAACCAACAAGGCAAAGCTACTTCATTACCTTGAGTCAGCCCCTGAATCATCACCCAAGGTCGAAACTCCAAGGGAGAGCGTTTGGATTGTGGATGGGATGGCCATGCTGCAACAAATAAGTCCAAAATACATGCCGCAGAACATGGGTCAACTCGCTGATAAGATTCTCATGCAATTGGTGAATCTAGCATGCAGCCATGGTTCAACTGCAGTGCACTTTGTAACAGACCGTTATCCACTTGTCAGCATTAAGAATGCAGAGCGCAAGCGGAGAGCAGCAAGTGGTTCCCAGAAGATCAAGATCAGTAAGCCAGACCAGCCAATCCCAAAGCAATGGAAGAAGTTCTTATCTAACAGCTATAACAAAGAGGAGCTAGTTAAATTTCTCTTTGAGATGTGGAGAAAGTGCAGTTTTGGGAGACTGAAGGGTGTGACAGTAACAGTGGCACATGGAGAAGTCTGTCATGCACTCATTCCGCAAGATGGTGTGGTTCATGTGAATGATATCGAAGAGCTGCACTGTTCACATGAAGAGGCTGATACTAGGATGTTCTTGCATGCCAGCTTCATTTCTAAGAATGGAGGCAACAGCATAATTATCAAGAGTCCTGACACAGACGTTTTTGTCATTGGTATTGCACTGACCTCAACTCTTGGTAGCACCCAGCTCTACTTTCACACAGGGAAAGATGAAAATATTCGCACCATTCATCTTCAAGCAATTGCAGAGCATTTGAAGGAGGACATAACCAGGTCACTTATCGGAGTTCATTGCTTCAGTGGATGCGACTCGGTTAGTTCATTCTACGGCAAAGGGAAGACAAAATTCATCAAACTGCTGATGGACAATCCTACATCATGTGCAGTATTCCAGGCATTAGGAGAATCATTCACAGTAACAGATGGAATGGTGTCAGACCTCTAAGACTGTCTGCAAGCTCTATGGTCAATGGAAATATTCAAGTGTGAACGATGCTAGATATGCAATGTTCTCCATGGCGACCACAGCAGAGAACGTTATGCCGCCAAATCGAGATGCCTTAGTGAAGCATATTCAAAGGGCTAACTACCAAGCAGCAATTAACAAACACAGCTTGGTACAACACCCAGATGTTCCGTCCCCTGTTGCACATGGATGGAAGCTGGAAGGCAGTGAAGCACCTGCCTTGATAATTGACTGGATGCAGATGCAGTCAGCTCAAGAAAGCATCCTTGAACTTTCCTCTTGTTCCTGCAAGAAGTCAAAGTGCAGAGAAGGGGAGGCAGGCAACGACTGCTGTGTGTCTTTGGGCATCCCATGCACAGAACTATGCTCATGCCGTAAGTGCACAAATACAGAACTGCAAACTTCTGGTGCCAATGAAGTAAATATCGAACGTGAGGACCTGGATGAAGATGATGATGTGCTAGAAGACTATGCTGACTTTGAAGAAGGATATTAGTTGCTAAGTAAGTAGAGAAATCACAATAAAGTATCTTTATGAGTTCTGAAGCAATCATTTTCCAAGAGCAATAAGGGCTTCCATGAAATATTTGTTCAAATTTATACCTATGCTTTAGATTAATGAGGAAGTTTTGATTTTCCTATTTGCATTTTATATAATGTTTTGTTTAAAAGAAAAGAAAAACAACAAAGGAGACTTTTACACAGCGAGTGACTTACAAATGCAGATGAATTTTATTCAAAGCGGTTTCATTCAGATTATAGAGCAAAACAAAAATAGTAAAATATGTAGTTGAACCCCCCCCCCCAAAAAAAAAGAGTATGGTGTTGGTAAGTTACCCTTAAGGGGTTTCATGACTCATCCCATTAACAAATCTTTAAAACCCAAATCCTGCCTACAAGTGAAAACATACTATTTTAATTGCAATTTACATTGAAAACAATAAAATACATAAGAAATTGTAAAAAAAACTATTTTAATATGAAATATATTGTAGACACGAGGTTTACATTAGTTAAATCAGTTAATCATTTTATAAACTCCGGTTAGATTATCGGAACCGCAGATTGATTCTTGTAATGACTAACTATAGCCACGAGCAACGAGTTTAAGCGAATGTGCGAAGCACGGTCTGCGAGGATGCAGGAGTGCTTGTACACGAGTAAGAGGGTTGTTGTGTACACATTTAGCACACGACCGCGAAACAAGGCGCTCCCCGGAGGAGGCGTCGACACAATAGAGATACTCGTTTACACACGAGCGATCGTGAACTTCCTTGTAAGGGATGGGGCGATCGGTTGCTCGTATAGACTGACCGTGTACATAGCAATGTGCATAGGAATGTACAAGTCTAAATCGACACATCTGTGGTTAGTTTCGGTCAGAGGAGCGTTCCCTTGTTTGGCCGGGGTTTGCAGTTGCTAATTTAAGCGTGTATTTATAAGACGGTCCGGACGAGCACAGTCAGTTGTGTGTTTGAGTTTGCGTGCTAACATCGTCAGTGCTTGCGTCGTGCGTTGTTACCAGTTGTAAGTATGTAAGTCTTCTTAACTATGGCTTGAGGTTTCTTCTTCTTCTTATGCACATAGGTATATATGCTGCTATAGACCTATCACTATCTTGTATTCTTATTTGTTCTTCGTAGTGAGCTATCTTTTAGTACGTGCGTTAACTTCCTATATTTCTAAA